TGCGCGGCGCCCCCCATTTCGTGGGGTGGCAGTGACGGTGTGGCCGCGGGTGTGTCCCTGAGGAGGCGGTGCCGCCCCCCGGCCCTCGGGCAGAGCTGCTCTTGGCCGCAGCGGAGCGCATACGGCCTCCATGGAGGAGACGGGCAAAGGGATGACCCCACCGTCCCTTCCAGACCTGTGTTTTTATCGTGGTTAAGTGGCAGCGAGTATTAACGTTTCACAGACATTTAGCGAGATCTGTGGTTCCAAAAATAGCGAAGGAGTCAAGGGAAACGCTTTGAACGGTGTGTGGAAATGCCTTGTGCTAGCTAACACCCTGGTTAGAAATACTGAATGTCACCTCTCGTAACGCTTGCCAGTTATTACTGGGTTTGGTTTGTCACCTGCTCTGGTGCCTACTCTCTCTTGTGATTTACGTACTTTATGGTAGACCTGGGTGCAAACATCTCTAATTGAGTTGCATTGAGCTGTTCAGGGCCACCCGGGCAGCAGTAGTCAGATGCTCTCTGAACATTCTGCAGAACAGAAAATTGAGAGAAGTCGCATAGAAATTATCTTCACTGTGCAAATTTACAGCTTTAAATCCTTTTCCTCTACTGAGCCAGGGCATAACTACCATTATAGATGTTTGCAGACATGCTATGAGAAAAATGGAAAACCAGTCAAGATACATGTAACCAATTTTGTTTGGTTTTTCTTCCCTTTGTAACATAAGTTATTACAGTGTTTTTAGACAGGTATTTTTAAACCAAAAATATCACCTTCATTTAAAAATGAGTCAAGATACAATTTATCTTACTTAACTTCTTTTCCTTCTGCCTCGTAATCTGAAGGTCAGTTGAAGAGACTGTTTTGCTGCAAAGAGATTAGACATGCCCCTATTCTGTAAGAGTAAAACATTTGAAACATTTTTGAAGAGCTCAAAATAACATGGAGATTGATACTTGCTCTCATTTGAAAATAGTCCCATATCTGCAAAGACTAAATTAAAGATACATCAGAAGTTCAGGGCTTGAAATCTGATCAGAAAGAATTCTACAGAAGACTGGAGAGGAAGAAGAGCATTTCTTCAGAAATTATCAGTCATACTTCCAGACTCTCTGTACTTGTATTATGGCATCCCTTGTGGGTTATATCAAGTGAAACCGAAGCTGACCGCCTTCCTGCTCAGAGGCACAGTCTGCCTGATGATTCAGGATGTATTTTGCAGTCCTTGTTGTAGATCCTCACTGTGTCCTACAGCTGTGGGTTGTCCTAAGAAGAGGAGAGACCAACAGCCCAGTTCTCATATGGATAGTAAGATTCTCTATATTCTCAGCAGCATTTCCCCAGTTTTCTGGGGCTGTTTGTTAATGTCCTTCACATCACAAGTGTATTCAGGTCACCGTATATCTCCAGCATACCCTATCGTTTGTCTTAGAATTCACATTACTGTGAAAATAGTACCTGGCAGAATAATTTTTAGTATTTTAAATTCAATGTTAGGAATACTAAATATATTTCATGCATTTTAATTGGATTTTTTTTTTAAACACAACTATCTTCAAGTTACAGTTTGCTTAGGAGTTGCCATTTAATAAATACACACTGTGTTTTTAAGCAGTTGTCTCTAAATGGGTTTTATGTATTTTTTGTGGACTTGAATTCCAAGTAGTATTTTATGGCTAAAAAGTAATAATATTAATTTGAACCATCTTATGCTGCTGGTTCACAACAGCCATTCATTAGAAAATAGTGAGGGTTCGTGAAAACTTAAGCAGCTTCCCCTTCAGTCTAACAGATGTTCTGCCATAAGCTGGTAGTGCACACGTGGTTCGTTCAGTATGCCCAGATAAGGTTTTTTGGCCTTCATTATGAGTGATATCAGGGCTCGTGTATAAGCACAGGTTGGTCAGAATATTTACTTTCCATGTGTACTGAAAGCTACATTTCTTCATCATTCTGTAACCTCTGCCAGCTGTGAACTTTTTAAAGCGGTAAGGAAAAGGAAGAGCAGTTGTCCTTGCACACCAGCTGATGAACAGCTTGCTTTGAATATGTGCTTTTAATTGAATGTTCTTTGTATTTCAGTCTCCAAGCCAGCACCTTACTGGGAAGGAACAGCAGTCATTAATGGGGAGTTTAAAGAGCTGAAGTTAACAGATTATGAAGGAAAATATCTTGTCTTCTTCTTCTATCCTCTTGACTTGTAAGTAACACCACTGTAGACATACCTAGACTGAGTGAACTATGTTAGATTCACAATTCATTATTTTTTCTTTTTTTGAGGTCTCGGGTTTTTCTTTGGTAAAGGTTTGGGGGAAAAGAAAGGAGTGAAAAATGAAAATAGATTCTTTGCATTTGTGTTTTCATCATGCACTGGTAAAATTGTAACACAGCCTCTGTCTGAATAAGAGCATCTGCTAACTTGTGTCTCCACACAAAAAAATAACTTTCAGTCTGCAGTACCCAGTCAGGCAACCTGTATGTTCTGTGTGACACTGTAAATCACTGCTGCATATGGAAGTCTGCATCCCATCTGTGTGTTCTAGAGTGTTTATAGTGTATCTAGGAGACAGCCTTTTCCCTTTAAGCTCATCCCATACCATCCTAATAACACTTAGCATTACCCTCCTTTGTCTGGAATGCAGTAGCTTCACTGATTGAGTGAAAACACCTCAGCTTTCTTCCTGACAATCCCATTCTTTTCCACAAAATGAAGAAGACAGAGATGCATAAACTACCTTAACATTATAAAGGAAATAACGTGGCTCTTGGCCCTTAGCTTCGAGGCCCTAGAAATTGTGATCATTATCACTTTACTTTTTCTGTAGTGGAAAATGTTCAAGTCAAATTGTTAAAATATGCAGATGTGTGCGTGGTAGCAAGAAATTACAGTATGTTCCTCTGAAAAAAAAATTGACGTATCATGCTTAAATTCAGCCATCTCATATTCATAAAGTCTGAAAGAACTGTAAAACACTTGTATCCGGATTGTAAGCTAACTGCAGCTTTATAATCTCCTTCAGTAATAAGCTGTTTGTAACTTAGATAGGGTCTGAGGCTTTTAAGATTTGTCAGGCAGCATTTTTATTAAATACTTGAATAAGCAATAAAAAAAATAAGCTGAAATTATTTATGATAAATCCACCATTTTAAGTTAAACAGAGGATTTACTGGATGACTTGTGAAATTTTGACTTTATCTTGTTTTAAATTATCTAGTACATTTGTATGTCCAACTGAGATAATCGCCTTCAGTGACAGAATTGAAGAATTCAGAGCAATAAATACCGAAGTTGTAGCATGTTCTGTGGACTCAAAGTTCACTCACTTAGCATGGTATGTATCTTATCCTTGCCTTTCACTAAAAATTATTCATGGGTCCGTCTTAGCTGAAGAACTCTGTCCCCAGATTTGCAGCCTATATAGGTATATCATAATGTGTAAAAGCATGATACTATTGACACAAATGTTTAAAATATTTTTTCCTGGAAAAAAATTTTAATGCTGCTGTGCGAAAGTATGTGTCTTTGAAGCTTGTTTAACGTGTACTGCCTGAAATATCATGAATATCATGCCTCGAACCAAAAAAATATTTCAGATACAAAAGAAAAAGATATAAGGATGCAAGTATCTGTAAATGCATCACACTGTCCCAATTCATGTGCACACTGGTACAAAGCAAATATGACTGATAAGAAAGTGGTCACTGTTAATAGATGTGGCCAAAAATGCAAAAGATCTACTGAACATTTTGCTCAAACCATAAATAGTATTCATAGCCCTTGTGTGCAGAACAAGAAAAATCTCATTTGCACTAAATCCTTCTGTCTGGACTGTTCTGGTTTGTGACTTTTAACTTTGTGTAGAGAATATAAATCTTTATGAGAAGTATCTCTGTTACTTCATTTCTTTCAAAGGATTAATACTCCTCGAAAACAAGGGGGACTTGGACCTATGAAGATTCCACTTCTTTCAGATTTGACACACCAAATTTCAAAGGATTATGGTGTATATCTGGAAGATCAAGGACATACACTTAGGTATTTCACTCGGTTACAGTTAATTTTATTCTGCTGGATTAGTACTTCCTACTTTGTATCTAAAGATGCATTTAGAATTTTTCTTTGAGAGCAGTTTTTACGTGGGGATTCGTGCTTAGAGACAAAATATATATTAAAGAACACAAAAAATAGCTGTAACGAGTCAGAACAGGGTGGAGATTAATATATTGCTTAACGGCAGTCATCAGCAGTTACCTTGGGGAGGGCAAACATGCAGAACACCCCAAAACTGCAGTTACTCAGGGACCTCCCAAGTCCAGGTGGAGTCAAAACTAAGGGTAGCTAATGGTCTCAAGAGCTACGTCTTTCACAAACCCCATTAGTTGCTTTTGGGATCCCTGTAACATCATAGCATCTGCAACATTCCTTGGCAGGGCCTGCCAAAGCTTAGTTTTATGTTCTGCAGAGAACTATTCTGTTTTGGTTTTGACTTGCCCTCAGGTCATGTCCTCCGATGCCCTAGGTAAAGAATACAGGTCAGCTGTATTCTAAGGTGGTGGGTAGTGTACGGTGTTCGCAGAGATCAAATTCCTCCCATCCAGCAGACATAAAATTGTGCATAAACACAACATTGTAATTAGTTCTGTTCCCTAACACACACAAATATGTTTCCACAGAGGCCTTTTCATCATCGATGACAAGAGAATCCTTCGACAGATCACGATGAATGACCTTCCTGTTGGGAGATCAGTGGATGAGACGCTTCGTTTGGTGCAAGCATTCCAGTACACAGACAAACATGGAGAAGGTGCTCTTTTAAATACTTTCCTGTTACAGATTGTTTTGCTTAGACTGGGAGCTGTGTTTGTAGCTTTCTGGGAGAAAGGTGCTCAGTAGTGTTAGAGACCAACCTCATGCAGTGAATGAAGCGATTTGATTGCCCTGCTACAAGATTGTGGTCCTGGTACCTCCATAGGTTGATTCTAGTGTACTAATTCACATTTTGCTTCACATCCATGAGAATGCAGAGCATAAAGTGTTCCTTAGTCTGAATTAAGCATTATGTACCATCTGTCACAAGCATAAATCTGTACAAAATAGGAGGCCATGAAGAATCAGGCCAAATACTTCAGTACACTTTGGCCTACTGAAATAACTGAGATGCAGGCCATCCTTGTCCTGTGTCATTTGTTGAGGATCTGTGACATGCAATTGAGAGTGTTTTATGTCAAGATACATGGTGGCACTGTGGAAGTTAGGCCACTGTTACCAGTGTTTTCTTTACAAGCCCTGTGTGACCATCTTCCCCTGACAAAGAAGCTTTCACTGGTTCAGATCATTAGTTTGTCTCAAGAACTTGTATGCCTTCAGTTCAAGCATAGGGTGAACTTTTCACATTTCCTTAATTAATGTGCTTAATTAAACAAATCTTTAAAATAATTAAATACTAATACACATGTTCAGCAGCTTAACTTCCATTTCAACTCAATTTCACCTGGCAATTGAAAGTACCATTACCTGGAGGTACAAATCATTATTATGCTTTGCTGTACAGATGTAAAAGGATAAATGCTGATACTTAGGCTGCGCACATTTGACTGAGGAAATTTAGCTTCTCTCAGTTACAAAGCTGTCTTGCAGAATGTTGATCTGCTAGGTGTTTCCAGAGTACCACATTTTTTGCCAGCTGCATGTGGAATCTCACCAGCTTTTGCGTGAACACTGAGGAGAGCTTCCCAAGGCACCTTATTGGATTCTTTGCACAGAACAGGAAGAAACTTCTCCACAATTCCTTATTGCATTTGTGGTATTTTGTCTGACAGCGTGCCTTAAAGCAGTGTAATACAGCATAATTCATTGGGCTAACTCCTCAGACAGAGAGCTCTGAACAGATAAGAGCTTCACTCCAGATTGTGCCACTGTACGGGTGGTCACAGGGCTCTCAGCTGCACTGCCTGGTAACTGCAGGCTGTAACCCCTTAGCTCCTGAGCAAGACTTCAAATGAAAATCAGGCTCTTGTGGAATCTTTGAACTGATGTCTTTGCTAAAAAATTTCCCCTAGCATTGGTTTTAAAGAAAGAAAGGTAGAGCTCTGAGTAGTTGCCTGAATTTTATCATGAAACTTTTGTTTCTACTAGAATAGGCGTTAATTCTCAGATACTGATTCACCAGTACTTTGTCTGGAAGGGCACAAGAATTAAACCAACGCGTAGACACCCATCCAGAGATAACAGAAGTGGTGGGTGGTATCAAGTATAAACTGTTACGACACCATCCCATGGATAAAGGAAACTGCATATTTAATAGTGGCAGATATTTACATGTGACACTTGTGTGCTGTTTTACTTCAAGTTCAGAAAAATAATATTAAGTCCACAAAAGTAATCGTATTAAAATACTTTTACTAACTTCGTCCTTTTTTTTCCAGTTTGCCCTGCTGGTTGGAAACCTGGCAGCGAAACAGTAAGTCACTGTTTATATTTAAATGCATGTACTACCAGAAAACACTCGGTTATCATTTCCACTAAAGCCAAATCCAAAGTCTTTGCAACTTCCAGTGAGACGAGATGCCTAAACTCACATTATTGTAGTTACAGCTTTTGGATTACTGCTGATTTCATTAGGAGCTTGTTTCTTTCACACAAGACCTATTCCAGTTATTTCAAATTCCCTGTGTATGAACAAAACTCTCTTGAGCGGCAATGAGTTCTTCATCAAGAACATTTTTTCCCATTAACACCTGATGAGAGGAAGTTGGCAACTCCTGAGTCTGTCCTTTCTTCTCGGTTATCTGGCCATATAAATTCTTGGTTTTTTTGAGTCACAGGCACTACCTACCCAAAGAAAAGCAAGCACAGGTTCCCATGCTGCTGTAGTACCTGATAGAGGCAGTGTGCCGTTATCAGAACTCCAGCAGAGAGCACTGCCCTTGCTGTGCAATAGCTCTTCCCCCTTTGTTACTCCCTA